ATATATATATATATATATATATGGGCAGCACGGTGGCGCAACTGGTAGAGCTGCTGCCTCTCAGCGAGCAGGTCCTTGGTTCAAACCCCGGTCCAGGGGCCTTTCTGGGTGGAGTTTGCATGTTCTCTCCGTGCATGCGTGGGTTTTCTCCGGGTACTCCGGTTTCCTCCCACAGTCCAAAAACATGCATGTTAGGCTGATTGGTAACTCTAAATTGTCCCTAGGTGTGAGTGAGAGAGTGAATGGTTGTTTGTCTCGTTTGTCTCTATGTGGCCCTGTGATGGACTTGCGACCCGTCCAGGGTGTACCCCGCCCCTCGCACAGTGATTGCTGGACATGGGCACCAGCGACCCCCGTGACCCAAAATGGAATAAGCGGGTAAAGAAAATGGATGGATGGATATATATATATATACTCTCCTGGCCATCAAACGCTCAGTAACACACATTCAACTCTGTCTTTATTTAAAAGCAGTCAGGTTAGACGTCTGTTTGATTTAAATAGTTGATTTTTCTTTTCCTTCAAATCATTTTATATTATTAAAGATTTAAATGTCTAATCCCTGATGCATCTTTATTACTATTTGCCCATTATTCTTTGGTCTTTGCCACAATTTTTACTACTACTCTTACAATGTTGCAGGGTAAAACAAAAAAAAAAGGGGAGTGGTGGCGCAGAGGTTAGAGAAGGTGGGCCTTTGATCGGAAGATTGCCGGTTCAAGCCCCAGTACCGACAACATCAAAAATGTGTTAATCAAAATCATTCGTCCCACTCTGGTCCCTTGAGCAAGGCCCTTAACCCCCCACCATCTGCTCCTCCGGGTGTCCTAGATGTCAGCTCTCTGCTCCACACAGGCTGTGGTAGCTCGGTGTCTGTGGTTGCGTCAGGAAGGGCAGTAAAAATAACTGCCAAGTCTTCGTGCGACTTAGTTCGCTGCGGCGACCCCTAACGCAGCCGAAAGAAGAAGAAAAAAGTATATACATATATATTAAAAACAATTTAAACAGGTAACTTCATTGGGAATAGTGTGCTATGACTTGGTAACTGTAGATCGTGTCACATGGATAAAATTTCCCTAAAACTGTCAAAAATGTCCCAATTTAAGACACTGGGGTTTAGATAAAGTGAGTGAGAATAGCCAACACTCTTTAGAGCCACACGGACTTCACAGTAAAAAACATCCTTTAAGGTTCAAACAGGTCACAGAAAGTTGGACTTTACACGTCTGAGAGGACAGTGTATGGTCTTTAATGTTCTTCACACAGTCACACTTTAAGTCAAGCAGCATGACGACTCAGTGGTTAGCGCTGTTGTCTCACAGCACGAAGGTCCTGGGTTCAATCCCCAGTTGGACCTGAGGTCTTTCTGTGTGGAGTTTGCATGTTCTTCTCGTGCTTGCGTGGGTTTTCTCTGGATACTCCGGTTTCCTCCCACAGATAAAAACATGTATGTTAGTCTGCCTTCAGGCCCAGGCCTCCCTTGTAAAAGTGATATGTGATTTGCCATGTTAAATAAAAGTCAATAAATAATAAGTTTGTTGATTTTTGGAGGTTTTACAACAAAATGTTATGGCTGTACAAAATTTACAAAAAATTTGCAAACAAGCTCTTATTTCCACAGACTTTATACTCTTTGCATGCTTTATACACCTAAACATAAAACCAAACTCTGACATTTATTGCCTGAGTTTCTTCAAAACCTGAGGAGTCTCTTTAACCTGTCATATCTCCTAAATGATATCCTTAATAAATAAATAAAAGTTAACACATATCACCACCAGAAGTTTCTGCTGCTCATGGTATTTGTTCCCCAATACATCTTTTAAGTTTTTGCTTAGTGACAGTTTGTTTGAGGCAACATTTTTGCATTGCTGTGTGATGCTTTTCCCTAAAAGGGCGGGAATCACCATGACTACCAGGAAAGATCTGGCATGGCCATAGCAATCAGTAACTCGGCAGATTCTGTATTTTTTTAATAATCAGAAGGCTCCTAAATATCAGTTTCATCTTGATTAAAACTTTTAAGAATTAAATAAAAGTTTCTGCAGAATTTCTGATTTAAAGTCCAAATATAAAAACTTAAATGCCAAACATGATGTTTTACACTAGAGTTTAAAAATAAGGCTCATATTACCTTTCAAAATAAGAATTTGACTCTGTGATGGCTTTTAAAATTATAATGTACAGTGAAATTCTGAGCAGTAACTGTCAGAAATGTCCTATAATTCTAATTAAACTGTTTTTTTTATGTTTCTGTCTCCAGCTGTCTTACGGTTCCAGCTCACCAGCCCTGTCCAACCGCCAACGTTTCCCCACCTTCTTCCGCACCCACCCGTCCGCCACCCTCCACAACCCCACCAGGGTGAAGCTCTTCCAGAAGTGGAAGTGGACACGCATCGCCACCATCCAGCAGACCACAGAAGTTTTCACTTCGGTCAGTGTTCACCTCCTTCACCTCAATTTCACACGTTTCTTTCAGCACTTTGTTCCTCCTCTTTCTTTTATCTCCGTCCCTTGGCGCCGTGTCCCATCATTACGGTTAAATCCCCGCTGTTGGCTCCCTGATTGCCTGCCCGCCTCGGCATGTTTGTTTACGGGTGCTTTTTTTTGTGTTCTCAGGCTACGGCAACGCACCTTTAATCAATCCCTCTCAGTGACTGATGGAGGATTTTTTGAAGTAATTTGTTGGAATATTGGTTGTGTGAAATATCGATCAAGCAATACATCCTTCTCAGGAACAGTAGTCAATACCGTAGCATCTGTTCTGTTTCCCTTTAATGGAAGTTAATGATTCCGCTCCTTCCTTTCTCAGGTTCTTCTTTTCTCATTTCCAGTCGTGTCAAAAAATCTACTTAGTTTTTCTTGTTTATATCTCATCGCCGCCTCTCCTGAGGGCTGAATCACGGAGTGAAGTTAACATCTTACAGACATGTTGAGCTCAAAGGGAGAGTTTTGAAGTATCTGGAAGGTAACGCTGTTTGAACCAGGTTTGATCACTATGGTAACGAGGTACTCCGATGTCCCCCGTCGCTGAGGGGTTTGAATTGTGAATGTGTAGTTTTGGAGATGAGTGTATTTATGGACTGGGACTGAACAGGGAGTGCAAGTAAACCTCAATGTTTTTGGTGCAAGATATTCAAATGGGTAGGAGTTACGCTGTGGAGAAGAACAGAGGGAGGTTTTATTTATTTATTTTTGCTTGTCCGAGGCAGCGCAGAGTGACGGATCCTGGAGGGTGGATGGAGACATTTTATCCACCACCAGGTGCAGTGCATGAGCCAGAGGGTGGCCAATGGTGGCCTTAACCATTAAAGATTTATCTTCAGCCACCCCAATGGCCACCCCAATCATTTGAGAAAACTATACTTTTAAGTAATAAAAAAAAATTGAAATTTCCTCAAATAGTAGATGTGGCTGGTTTATTTTTATTTGTTTTGTTTTTTTGGTCGGTGGCCGTCTTGGATTTTGATGCGGCAAAGCAATTTTTGTTGTTGCCTTTTTATTATGCCCACATGCAGCCACACACCAAAATGGAAGTTACGTGGCTCACTTTTCAAGTTATCCATCTCACAAGGTTTACTTACATATGGTGGCGGCAATCTTGGATTCTGACATGGCAACTCAGTTTTCAATAGAAAACTTTCTTACACCTAGATGTTTCCACACAACAAAATGGAAGTCGGTACCTCACTTATTTTTCAAATGATCATGCTTACAAGACAGATTGATGGTATTTTTACTCTTCGCTGCTCACTGGGGGACAAAATAAACCTCCCTCTGTTCTTCTACACAATGAAACTCCTACCCACCTGAATAACTTGCACCAAAAACATTAATTAAAAACCAATCGGTACCTCCGCTAGGCAAATGTTTATGTTTGCCTTGCTGCATGTGTGGGTGTTCGAGAAATAAAGTAATCATTGGATAAACATCTAAAAGTCATTAACTTCTGGAACAAATCCAAATCAAGGTGGCCGAAACAGCCAGCTGACTCGAGTAGACACAAAATGGCCACAAGTTTTAACGAGACCGAGCTAAAGTTGGTGTAGAAGCAGCTGATAGCAGTTCCCAACATAACGAGCCTGGATCACCAAATTTAACCTCAAAACGCTGTTTTCACAGTGACATGTCAGTATTTAATCTATAAAACTGTTTATTTTTCAGTACTAAACACAAACAATCAGAACTGGCATGAATCCATGAGTGAAACACGTTAAACGTGTTGATAAAACCTGTAGACCTACTAGTTTTACCAAGAAGCTCTGCAGTGGACTTGGTGCCCCGTTACCATGGAAACAATCTGTAAATTTAGTGGCTGTAGAGGACTGAGTTTGGTATTATATTGTCTAAATTACCTGAAGACTGCCAAAATAAAACTCGCCAAAGACTGTTGAACATTAATTAGCCTGTTAGTCAAAGAGTATTCATTAAGTCGAACTTGAATCTGATTTGGTTGAAGACGTAAAATCTTTTATTTTTTTTATTTTTTAGCCGTGTTTTAAACTCTTCAATTCAGATCTCTGGTAATTTATTCGACTCAGGAGGAGCTCACCAGAGATCATAGTTTCCACTTCATAATCTTTTCAAAATAAAGTCTATCGGGACTCTTAGAGTTGTATATTATTATTTTTATTATTATTTTTATTTTTGTAAAGCACAGTTAGGAAATAACTTGATAAAAAAATTTTTTAAAAAAGGGACGCCCATGACCGTCAGACATTTGAACCCGTCACTGCCGTTTTTCTTCCGTGCGTTTTTTCAGCACGTAACTTGTTCCACAATTTTTGTTCTATTTCATAAATTCATGTCTCAAAACGTTCGGCTCATTCAGGACATTCCTGCTGAGACTTTTGGTTTTTGTGCAGTTTTTCCATTTTAAAATATTTAGCTTTGTCGGCCATGTTTTTCTCATTGAAAATGAATTGAGCTCTTCACGTTTGTGCTGTTGAAAACTTTTTACTGCTCATTTCAGCTTTGGTGCTGCTGTTTTTAGTTCCTTTTTGCTTCTTTCTATTTATTTTTTTCTACTTTTCTTTTAAAACATTTTTTGCTCCTTTTAGCTTTTTTCTACTAATTTCTGCTTCTGTTGGCTAACTGGAGCTTTTTTCCTTCTTTCTCAGCTACATTTCAGCTTTTTTTCTGCTAATGTGAACTTTTTGGCCACATTTCAGCAAAACTCAGATGATTTTTTGCTAATTTTAGCTGTTCTGCAGTTGGTTAAGTATCTTTTAATTTCAGTTTTTTTGTGTTCTTTTTAGCTGTTTTCTGCCATTTCAGTGTTTTTACGCTCCTTTCAGCCTTTTTGTTGTTGCTATTTTCAGCATGTTTCTGCTACTTTTAGCTTCTCTCTGCTAACTTCAGTTTTTTCAGTTACTTTATGATAATTTAAGCTTTTTTTGTGCTCCTTTCAACTTTTTCTTTCTCCTTTTCATCTATTGATGTATCTCAGGTAAGTCTTAGCTCATTCAGCAGCTTTCAGCAGCTTTCAGCAGCTTTCAGCAGCCAACGTTCACGCTGTATTTTCCCAGGAAATGATTTGACTTTTTGCTGCATCCCTCGCTGGTCCTGTAATGTTTTTAATTCTTCTTCACTTGTTTATTTATCGAACCTGCTGTTTTGACGAGTGACTTGTTGACTCTGGGGTTGTGTGGGTAAACTTAAGCTGTTTTTTAGTGATGGATTGTGTAGCCAGTTAAATAAAGACGGTAGCCGAAGCTCTGTTCTCTGATTTTTACACGTTTCCTCAGCAGAAAACAGAAACCTCGGTTGCACTCTGATTCCTGTTCCTCTCAGATTTTTTTTGTTTTTTCCTCGTTGGGCTTGTTTTTGTCTGTCACCCTGTCACCTCTCTGTGTCTGCTCAGCTGCCTGTCTAACCTCCCCCCCCCCCCTTCTGTCCCCCCCCCCCCCCCCTTCCCTTTCATCTGACAGACTCTGGACGATCTGGAGCAGAGGGTGAAGGAGGCGGGCATCGAGATCAGCGTTCGTCAGAGCTTCCTCACCGACCCGGCTGTCGCTGTCAAGAATCTCAAGGTGCTTTTGATTAAAAATTCACCTCAGCTGCCGGCCGTCTCCCTCCCTCCCCCCATCCTCCCCCTCCGGCTCACAGCTGCTAACATTAGCATAGAGGCCATCTGAATGAGGAAATTAATGCGCCATGTTAATTATCAGCTACTGAGCGGCAGTATGTGCCGTCCTGTGGAGCAGCGGGCGCGTTGTGCTGCCACGTCAAGCTGCGATGTTGTGAAGTCAGATTCGTGCTGCTGATGTAACTAAGCACTGATTTCTGCTTGTGTCCCGCAGCGTCAGGATGCCAGGATCATCGTGGGGCTCTTTTATGAGACCGAAGCCAGGAAGGTGTTCTGTGAGGTCAGTGGAGCAGAAACCAGAACCCTCGACGGTGACGCAACGCGTAATTTATCATCCGCCATCTTTGCTGCAGGTGTTTAAGGAGAAACTGTACGGGAAGAAGTATGTCTGGTTCCTGATTGGCTGGTACGCAGACAACTGGTTCAAGATCAAAGACCCGGCCATCAACTGCACGGTGGAGAACATGACCGAGGCCGTGGAGGGACACGTGACCACCGAGATCGTCATGCTGAACCCCGAGACGACCCGCGGCGTCTCCAACCTGGTGGGAGCTCAAAAATTAATCCATCAGATTCTAAAAATATTCAGTTACCTTCAAGTTTCTGCAGACATGCAGTCAGAGAGCTAAGTTACCTGCCAACCCCGAGCTAAAACCAGAAAAACAGGAGCTAAAACCAGCCGACCAGGAGCTAAAACCAGACAAACAGGAGCTAAAACCAGCCAACCAGGAGCTAAAACCAGACAAACAGGAGCTAAAACCAGACAAACAGGA